TTAGGGCCGAGCGAGATTTGGGAGTTTCCGAAAATAGGGGACCTTGATATAGCACCCTAAATACTAGGATCCTTATTATAAGGACCCCAAAATAAGGTACCCCTAATTTCGGAAACTCCCATTTAATCTTCAGCTCTGCATCTGGGGTCAGGTACCCTAGAGTTTCGAATCTGAGGGTTTGGGTTTTGGTTTAGTTTTTGAAGAGGGATGTCGTGACAGTTACATCAACGGGCTGCAATAACAAACATAGTACGATAGCTCGTCGAAGTGTGTGTGCATGTGTGCGTAACGGGTGCAGGCTTAAGGCAGAGTTGACTACGATGAGATTGAAAGAGAACAGGGGGCCGTGGGCCTACCATCGGAGCTTCGGCAAACGAAGACCTCCGATGGTAGGTCCGAAAACGTACCTGCAGAGGTTTGAATATTTTCGCTGTCAGTTTTTGTTGGGTTATTTGTTGGTAAAGCTGCACGGAAATTCAGCCTCTTGAAGACCTTCCTTCGATGCTTTTCTTTTGGACTCTCAGAAGTGAACCAGTGCACAGATCACACTGAGTGACCTCAGGCAGCCTGAGTCGACAAACATGTTGACAGGAGCATGGACAAGTAAGCGACCTTCGACAAGATGCCGGCTTTCTGCAAGGCAGTCCTAGCGGTGCAACACAAAACAAAAGCTGCCCTGGACTGGCGGCGCAAGAAAAACGAAAGCTGTCCTGGACTGGCGGTGCAAGTCCTTTACGGCCAACGACAAGGCCCTTACAAACACATACCGTTGCATTGTCCAACTGACACTCGATTATGGGCTCCCGTGCTACTGTCCTGTGGCGACTAACACGACAAACAAAGGTCAGCAGCAATGTATGCATTTGTATGCATGTGGTTTTGTGTGCGGCTGCAAGGCTTGACGGGGTAGATCCACATGGTTAGATGTTATATGTACACATATATATATATATATATATACATATATTGAAGCGACAGAAGGAGTGCCTCAAGTTGTGAGGGTTTGGCGGAGCACCCAACGGTCAAAACCCCTGGGTTTGGGTTTAGCGTCTCGGCTTTATACCAAATCCGTAGCCTCCGCGAAGTAGCCACTAGTCCAGCCACGCAGTCAGCCCATTCACTGCTGTGCAGGAAAAGCCGTAGTTGCATAGATCCTCGGTTACTGTTCTCTGAATCTGGTGATGCTTGAGGACTGTGGCCCGTAATGAAGAAGGGTCTCACTTACAAGATAATCTCGTGTCGTGCTGCATCCTTCTATAATGACACATTGGCCACATCGAGTTCAGATTCTTCAGCAGCCCGGGAATCTGTGACCATTCAACGTACAGTACTAGCTAAAGCCCGTTAAGAATTGCAACATGCCAAATCCAGAATCCCAGCCCCATCAGGGGCAGCACATTGCGGGGGAATAGCAATGGTCCGGGACCCGGCACTTGGAGACCAAGCTCTGGCTTCCTAGGACCCCCCAAGGACCCTCTAAAATGAATTTCGAAAAGTGGGAACATGGATTTAGGATGATTCGTGCTAGGATCCCTTATACCTTAAGGGCATGAGGATAGCGATGTTCCAACTTTCTTGCTTCTACTATAGTGTACCCCAAATACCCACTTTCAAGGACTGTAGAGGCTCTGTCAAAAGGCCTTTGGGGGGTTCTGCTTGGTCTCAGGGGTTTCTTTGTAACATTTTACATTTTTTGGGGTACTTCAACCCAATTAGGAATAGAAATTTAAATTGCTAATCCTATCCCAACCATGAACTGGGTCTAGGATTGAAAGCTCCAGCAGTTTTGTTTGGGTTTGCTGGCTTCGGCGTCTCGCGGTCGCTCTGCAGCTCGTATTCATGATTGTTAACATGCCCAAGTGGATCTGAAAGAAGCTTGTCGTAACCATTGGTCCATCGGTCAAAACGCGCACAGCTTCGAAAATTTACCTATTGCTCCAAAGCGAACAGCGGCTGGGCTCAGAAGGACTCTGTAGATGCAATTGCGGATTCTTGATGTTGTCCAGGTTTTAGGGCAAATTGCAAGTGTCGGCGTTGGTTAAGATTTAAGGCCACGGCACCAGTCGGGATACATAATTGTAGAGCATGTCCAGTTCGTATAAGTCTTATGTAGTACAAGTTTGTGTTAAACGAGGTGCGACAGCTGAGAGTATCAGTATTATTATGGTCTGGTAAATTTAGGTTTTGCGTATGACATCATGGGATGAACACCATACACTCTCCTGGCACAAAGGCCACAATCTTTAGATAGGGGTTTGGGGTACTTACATCACCGTATCAGTATAGTACCGAGAGGCCTATACCGTCCATGCACATGCCCAATGCCTCGTACAAGGTTCACATACTCAAACCACTTGCCAACGGCCGCCATCAAGAATCTAAGCCCCACAGACTGAGTTTTAATCACAGCTTCCATCAAGAACTAGAACCCCTGAGCCTGAAACGCCGGAAGATTCAGCGACAATCGTTGCGTTTTTCAGAACCCCTGGAGACTCTTGGGTTCCTTGAGGGTAGTGCTCTTTGAGTCCAGTCAGGGTCCTTTCAGAAGGAAGCCGTACTAATTATTTCGGAACCCAAAACGGGATCTTGATTTAGAGAGCTACCCATGAGGGTTAGGGTTTACAGTAAGCCCCATAAAATTGGAAACCAGATTAAGGCCAAATAGTGCTGTGATTCCCTATACATTACTCTTAAGGACTTAGGCTATTGGGTTTCCAACTTTTGGGCGTCTACTGTAGGGTTTAGGGCTTCGGTATTCAAGAGTTGGGCTTGGGATTTCCTTCAAGCGATCGTTGTGGGATTTGTGTCAGGAAACCTCTCCCTGAGAGCACTGAGAGCCCACCGGGATCCTTTAAGGGTTACTATAAGGGCTCTATAAGGGTTTCTGGTTTAAGGGTAGGGTTCCTTTAAGGGTTCCTATAAGGGCTCTATAAGGGTTTCGGGTTTAAGGGCCCATGTACCCAAATAGTATATACTTCGGCCCTGGAGTCCCTAAATACGGAAGACATTGAGGCCAAGAGTTTAGGGTTTAGGGTTTAGGGTTTAGGGTATATACTACTTGAGCACATGGACCCTCAGGGTCTCATACGAAGTTTTCGGCTTGGATAAAGACACCCCGGCACAACTGTTCAAGGCCATGCATTCAAATGGGTGGTTGTCAAAATTGTGGGCCCTTTTTGGGTCCCTAATGAAGTACCCCTATTATAATACGGCACCTAATATCTAGGATACCCAAAACGGGGCCATAATTTTGACAACTACCCAAGTGTAATTATCCTAAACCCTAAACCCCAAGCACTACTTGGCCAAGGTGCTTGAGCCAGTGACTCGTGCATTCGCCTTCACCTTTCTGGCAGACCCGTTCAATTTTCCGCTGTTCGAAACCGCCCATAGCTCCCTTGTCAAGCCTTCAGGATGTGTGTCAGATTCTGTCAGAACCCGTCTTGCCTCTACCCAGGGTTGCATCCTCTGGGGATTCGATGTGAGCTGCGGGTACTGTTGTGCAAGCTTCTCAAAGTTTTTTCTTCGGCCTACTTGTGGAGCCCCGCAGAGAAGTAGGGTATGCTAGCTTCAGCCAGATCCTCAATCCTAGACACGAAATTTTTGGATGCCACTAGACCCTCCATCTTGAACCCCAACTACTTGGAGGTTCATGGGTAGTTATAAGTAGGGTTATAAATAGGGTAGCTTTGCGTATAACCAATATTTGGGGGACTTATAACCCTACTTATAACTACCCCTGAACCTCCAAGTACCAAAACAAACTTAAACAGGGATCCGGCTCTTCCTCAACATTAGGTTTCGCAGGGTCGACAAGACACCGAAGCCTGAATCTTGCACCCGACCCTTAGGGTTTAGGGATTAGGGATATGGGGGTTGGCGCATTCCGGGTTTAGGGCTCCCTACTTGCTTGCAAAGATCAGCTAAGTTCCTTCGCCAGATGGAATAGTCATTTCTGTGATTCTGTCACACACCGGATCGCAGGATTGCCGTCGACCCTGTATTGGTGAAACTTTCTGGCATATAGCCCAAGGAAAGGACGAAGGCATGCATCGTGCCTGGCAGAGGTGATGCTACTAGCAAAGGTTGCAGCACTTTGCAGTGGACCTCAAACCGCCAAACTTACGGTGCAGAGTGTTTAGGGTATATCCTTGCACCTTCTGGAACCTGCGGTTTTTTGAACAGCCATTGGATTCATGAGTTGTATTGAAACCAGTTCGGGTGTGTCATATAAGGGGTCATAACATGTAGCAACATAACCTTGCCGTCCATGATGGTAGTAGAATATAGCCCAAAACCCAGTCTCATCATTAAGACCCCTATATTCAGCTTTCATGATAGCCGGTGTGGTAATCTCTAAAGATGCCTGAAACGAGCCCTAGTCTAATATTTACGGTTAGGATTTAAATGCTGGGGGTCCTGGCTGGCTGAGTAAGTTGGAGACTCCAAGTTTCGCCAGCCCAGAGATGTCTAATGCAAGGACATAGGTAGTTACAACAGAAGTGTAAGAATGAAATCGGTATTTGGAAGGGGCATTGATAATTATCGTATGTGTGTAAGAGGGGGATAGTAATCGCAGGATCAGTGCACGAATAAACCTAGTTGTTATAGGGGCTTACTTCTTGTTGTATTTGAGTGTAAGATGAGTACGGCTTCGACATACATTATGCCTAAACCCTAAACCCTAAACCCCAATTATGCTCGAACCCTATATTGGGGTTCTCAGGCTGAGTCCCGGCCACATGGTGCTAGGTTTAGGGACCCTAAGACCCCAAACCCGGCAAGAAAATAGGGACTAGGTGTTTCAGGGTTTAGGGTTTAGAGTTTAGGTTTATAAGGTTTAGGGATTAGGTTGCTTCAGGGGTTAGGGTTTAGATTTGGTTTCGCATTCGCAACAGACAGCACAACTGATCCTTGAACTACGGTGCAGCCTTAAACATGCATATAGGAATGCTAGTACACTCTTCTAGAGTGTTGCAGGTCACCACTAGGGCTTCGTAATGTCAAACATGGCGGCCGACATGTTTGGAATCCAGCCCGCAGAGCCGGAGCCTACAGCTGCCAGGACACTGAGTTCATTGATGATGTTGGACGTGCCAGGCCAACCCAATGTATGGCTAACCAGCGACATGGCAGCGGTGACGGTACAGAACTTGGGCTCGAGCGCGCAGGGCATGGATTGGACTGCCATAGCCGGCCATGTGGGCATGCCCCACATGGCGGCACGGTTCGCCCAAGTGGCCAGAAAGACCGTTTGGCGACGTCATGTCGCCACTCGGCGCCTGGGCCAACAGCTTTGCGCTACTTTATGCGGAAGCGGTGGTTGCTGCACACCGCCCCTGGGCGGGCATCTGGCCCTGGCCGTAGTGAACCTCATCGCACTGGACTTGGACAGCAGTGTGAACACCCACGGGCAGCAGTGAGGTGTAGCCGCTCGCCGCTTCTCCAGCACGCGCCGGAATCGGGTTAGTGCCGCCATGTTTTCCAGAAAGCGCTTTTTCGTCTAGCAGCAGCATGAAACGATCAAGGGGTGTTTTGCCGACTCCTTGAGGGAAGGATTTTGGTGATTTTCTTTTCGGACAAAATCGTGCATCACGCAACCAGTGTTTGATAAACATTTGCGAGCCACCAGGCCGATTGCATAGCCTCGATTGCCGACAGAGCACAGTTGATCTCTGCCATGATAGCTTGAAATATTCATTGAGTTTAGCCGTAGCATATTTTGCACGAGCCTTGACGTGGTTGTGTTTCACACATGAATTGAGATTAGATGATTAGACCTTGCCGAAACGAATAGTTATATGCTTGTTGCTCGATTTCACTTACAAATGCTAGGCACCGAGCGAGCGACGGCCACCCTTTGGGGACAGAGTTGTGAAAGCTTCAACGAACAGTTTTTTACCAAGGTTTCCGCACATGCATGTGCCCGGACATCATCTTGAGTACGTGCATGTCGACATCTTGTTCAAAAGCCCAAGTCATTGTAAGTAATATTAATATGAGTAGTAATGGTCATGGTAGTAGTGCTATTAATATAATGTTCAGAGAAGTACCAATGTTGATATCGTCAATTAGTACTTGCAGAAATTATCGTTTTTGTTTGGGCACGAAGTATCATGTAAGAATATGAACATGACAAGAATATTATTAACGACTCTGCCGTTGGGATTGAAATTCTGAGGTTCGTAGATACTGTCAAAAACTTAATACATTCCAATATTCTTATGGTGAGCTCTAATCATGATTGTAGCATGCCGGACTCCAAAACCCTATGCACGCTATGTAGTCTCCCACAGTACATTCCGGACTTGCCGCATTATGAACATGAAGAGCAAAAGGGTAAGCAAGCTATTGCTATGTAGTCTCCCACAGTACATTCATTGCACTTGCTCAGATGAGAATTGCTCATCCCAGCGGAAGGCGCTGGGGAAATTTTCGAACCCAGAAATATTAGAATCTGAATGTTTGCTGATCAAATATTATGATTTATTTGATATATTTTCTCAATATTCTTCAAATTCATATTATCATTATTTCTTTATTAATGTAAAATATTCGGTTTCTAATTATGTTTATTCTTGTTTGAATGCCAGAATTCTTATTAATTTCTTATTCAATATTTCAGGTTTGAATATATTCTATTTAAAAATTTGATATAAAATTCTATTTAAATTCTCTTTTAAAATTAAGATTCTATTTGCTCTCTTATTCATATATTGTAAAGATAGTTGAGTTTATATTTCCATATTTAAATTCTAATTTCTCAAATATTTCTATTTCAAATAAATATATATTTAAATATATTATTCAATATTGATGAATTTCCATATCCAAAGATCTATATAATATTCAGATTCTATATATTTTCTTTCTTAAATTAAATAGTTTGCATATTATCATTACTTCTTTATTATCATAAAATATTCGATTTCTAACTATAGTTTTTTCTTATTTGAATACCAGAATTCTTATTAATTTCTTAGCAGATTTGAGAAGAAATTTGATATAACATTCTATTTAAATTCTCTTTTAAAATTAAGATTCTAATTACTCTCCTATTCATATATTATAAATATGATTGAATTTTTACTTCTATATTTAAATTCTAATTTCTCAAATATTTCTATTTTAAATAAATATATATTCAAATATAATATTCAATATTGATTAATTTTTATTTGAAAAAAATAATCTTATATTATATCTTAGGCCAATATTTGAATAATAAATCGATGAACCAATTATCAAAGATTTGATAGGCTTATTAATTGAATGAGAAATTCTGAATAATTTTTTTTCAACTTCGAATTCATTTTTTTAAATCTTTATTTTGATGAGATTTATGGTATTAGGATTCGTTGCAATGCTTAATATAAATCTGAATATTACGACCAAATTTCTATATATATTAGATTTCTGATGAAAATGCTAAGGAATGAATCTTATTTAATTCGAATATATTTCTAATCAATTATTAGGATTCTACTCAATTTCTTATCTTCTATTTATATGATTTAATTCTGAAGCCTTTATATTCTTTATTAGAATTTTTTTGATGAATTTCGTATTTGAAAATATAATTGCACGTCATTTTATTCATGAAAAAAAGAATTTGTACTCATTTTCTAATAAGAAAATTCCAGTTAATTTTGATTATAACTATTTCAATTTAATAAAAGCTTCAGCAAGAGGGTGCGCGACTAGTGTAGAGACTAGTCAACTCAGACCTCTGCACTGCGCGAAACCTGTACCCTTTGCTTCTGCCTCTGGGGGAGACAAGGCGCGCTTCTCGTAGGAAAACTGGATTGCAGCAAGGGCTGATACCGCTAATATTCCTCTTCGCTGCACCTGAAACCCTGAATCTTGAACCCTAAACCCTAAACCCCTAAGCCCCAAACCCTCCGCAAGCATAGTGCAATTTTGGAGTGCTGCGACCCTTAGGGCAAGATGCGGCATCTGTGGAAGTGTCTATAGTGTGTTGAGAAGGAGTTTGCACGGTCGATGTACTAGCGGAGTTGAGAATATGGGGTCTTGGTGTGATCAGAGCCCCAGATTCCGGGTTGTTCCTCAACCCGAAACCCCTAAACGATAAACCCTCTAAGATTCCAGTCTATGGCTTGAGTGTGGAGCGTTTGGGGTGAGTGCGCAGCATGGGCTCTTTGGGTGAGACTGACTTGTTTGAAGGTTACTTGTAAGAGTGATGACTTTTTTTGGGCTTAGGCTTGAGATGGTATAGGGCTCACAGGGTATAGTGTGAAGGGTTTGTAAGTTTCAGGACCTTTCAGAATTTAGATGCTGCAGGTTCTCCTGAGACTCCTTCTCGCTATGAAGTAACCTACTTCAAAGGGGAAAAGGGATCCTTAACGGGGACCCCTACCCTATAATGGGCTATATAATGGGTATATAATAGCTATATTAAGGGTATATACCTAGGGATCCTTGTTAAGGGTCCCTCCTTTTACCCTTGGACCACTCGGGTTGAAGCCGCCTACTCAGCAGGAGCTGATCGACGACGCGCGTGTGCCCATCCTGCGTCGGAGCCTGAGACCAGTCAGGGCCGGGACTAGCGGTGTTCGGGGTTCCTTTAAGGGTTCCTTAAAGGGATCTATAAGGGTTCTTTCAAGGGATTTAGGGTTTAGGGTTCAGTGTCAAGGGTGTAGGGGGTGTTTAGGGTTTACGGTTAGAGGGTGTTTAGGGCATAGGGTTATTAGTTATGCGAAGGATCCTTCTGTCAAGGCACCTTCCACGTGGTATTGGAGTAACTGCTGTGATTCGGTACAGCAAGCACGCATGATGCACAGAGCAGTGATAGCAGTCGTTTGACATGAGGACTATATTCATCACACTTAGCAAGCCAGTGACAGCACGACCAACCGCGTGTACATATCATGTTTATGTGTATGTATATACATGTATATATGTATACACATATATACAGGCAAATTAAATACACGCAGCAAGTTATATGTACACAGTGGTAAATATTCCACCTCCACACGTTTGCACACAATGTTTGCATCGCCATTTTACATTCTTACTGCCTTCATTTGTTCTTAGAGGGTTTTTGCACTCGATGCAAAGCTTACAGTTCAACTCATCAAATTTCACAACCACAACCTGTTCGATGCTCGCAACCTGTTGGACCCCGAAAGGAAACATGCGCACTTCGGCCTGTCCGGAGTGCCCAGAGCTGCACCTCAAGAACCAAGAGCTTCTAAAGTATACAAGTCATTTGAAGCATGAAATGGGAGTTTCCGAAAATAGGGGACCCTAATATTGTACCCTTAACAATAGCATCCTTATTATAAGGACCCCAGAATAAGGTACCTCTATTTTCGGAAACCCCCCAAATATGACGCGATGTCTGCACTTCTTACTAAGCGCCGGTTCAACATGTGTTTTTCATCCGGCTGGCATTCAGTACTCTGCTGCTATCCGCTGCTTGCTGCGCGCATGCTGGATCAACCCGTCCATGACTGTCAGGCTTCCAATGGCCTCAACCGGAAACCCTCATGAGTGGAGGTTTCAGTTTCAGTTTGTGGCATGGTAAACTTAAAAGTCGGGATCCTGTCCTTAGTTAAGCTTGACTATAGTCTGGTGGACCCTGAACAGAGATTTTGCTCTGTCCTCCGTGCAGTTTAAGTCCGTGCTTTTACGCCGCAAGCTGCTTGGCTCCTGGCAATTGCCGCGTCATCTGAGCAGGAAGCCTCCTGGTTGGTTTAGGGTTTAGGGTTTAGGGATCTCGCGCCAGCCAGAACTCCAGATTAGCCACACGAAGCTTCAGCATGTGGGCATCGATAAAGGGCTTCATGCTGCATGCTCGTTTGTAAGACTCCGGTGTGAGTTCCGGAGAGTTTCGGCCTGGCTCACAGTTTTCGGCTTGCGATTTTCACGCCATGGCATCAACTGCAACTGCAACTGCCTGTCCCATGGGATCCGGATGTGAGGCCAGGCATAATGGCTTAATTTATTCATATAGAAGCCTCAATAGTTACCAATATTGTTCCCCTGGGTTTTAAGATAGGTATACTTTACAAGCTGCCCCCACCCTGTAATAGTGACTATAAGGATTATATTAGGGCCTTATTATATTCCTGTTATACCACTATTACAGGGTGGGGGCCCCTTCTAGGTATACTGTTCTACTATGAAGGAGCCCAAAACCCTGTTCGACTTATGAAGGCCCTTACATGAATCACCCTGTCTTGCAGGAAACCCAACCTGGAAGATTCCCATCAAGCTAGGGTGACATGAGCCGACGATTTAGGATCTATAGGGTTTAGGGTTTACAGTTTTTTTCTGTGGTTTAGGGTTTAAGGTTTTTTTGTGCTTTAGGGGTTATAGTTTTTTTCGGGTTTAGGGTTTATAGTTTGTTGGGGTATAGGGCTGGGGACCCTATTTTTCTTGACCCTTTTTTTTTTTT